GTAGTTAATGCAGTATAATTCACTTCCTTTATCTTGTGTTTGCTGAAATATGAAATAGTACCTACCAACTTTTAGAAACTTTCCAGAAGGTTCCTTCTGCAATCAACAAAAACAGAGATCTACACTAATTTAATGCTAATGCTGTTCCTCATTTTATTAACTGAATATTTTAGATAAATCCTAATGGAAATATTAAAACTGTAAAGTACAAGTTATCTGCTGACTCTTTAATGTACTTGATCTCTAATTCTCCAAGAGTGATCAGTGCACACCCTTGCAAAACCTGTTACACAAATGAGTGCAAAACACTACTACAACAGTTCTAGAGGAACTCAAATTCTTTTTGGGGTAGCCTACTCTTGTCATCCGTTCACAGTTTTAATGTTCTCATTGTTTACCAGAAAGCATAGACAGTAAGGCTAGCTTTGCTGCTCCCATTTCCTTTTGCTAGCTTGTTGAGCTTTTGCAGGCAATTGACTTTGCTTTGACGCTATAAATATCTGGGAAATGTTCTGCATTTGATGCTCTTGGATTCTGCATCCATATTTAGCTGTTTGTGGCATGTCTTTGTTTAAGCTACTCTACCATCCATAAAAATCAATCAGGTTGAACTCTAAACAGTCAAACGGAAGACAAATTAACATTTAATACCTATTTACTATGAGGCACAGGACCAATCTACTAGACCTGATTGACAATAAAAGAGGTGGTAAGGGAAGACTATGAACAAGACAGACAGACTAATGTCAAAACTTTATACTCTTGACAGGACATGGATACAATTTATTTGTTAATTCTGGAATGAATCATTTTACTCAAACAAAGGACAGCATAAACATTTTCTCTTAGCTGTGTCTCAAAGACTTGCATTTGTTTGTGCTCTAAATATAGACCCACCTACTACAAAGCTCTGAAGATATTCCAAAGAAGTTTTCCTAATCATGGTAATACACAAAGCTCTGGATGTATTATCAACCAAAGAGCCAAACTTGTTAACCACAGACTAAAACAGAGCCGATCTGTGAAGTAAACTAGGAAAATACTGCTCCTAAAAGTTTCTATGAGATATCCTTAAGAAGAGAGAAATATTTTTATTAGTTTTTTTTTTATGATTTCAAAGAAAATTCTCGAAGAGGATGTGAGCTGGCCAGCATCCAACGTCACTCAATACCACTCCTTAATGGCCTTTGAAGCCCAGTCCATCTCCACACTGTGTAAGCTAGACCTGAGCAGCATCCTACCTCCGCCTTCCTAGTTTGTGAAAACAGAGTCCTCCTGATGATAAGTTAAAAAGTGCTGAACTGAGAGCTTGCTCAACTACTGGCTTCAAAAGTCAGGAGAGAATCTGTAGGCCAAGTTGTAGTTAAATTGTGGAACTGATTAGACAACAGTCCATATTTAATCCACAAACTTAGAGGAAAGGAGCTAAACTTCTCTGAAACAGCTGGACCACACTTTAAAAAAAGTCTCTATAAATTATGTAGAAGATCAAAGACAACCCAGGAGAATCAGTTTTGAATACACAAATCAGACAAGAAACAAGGAAAACAAACTAATATTCCTTAAATGTTTACTTTCCCGCTGGGCATGGTCACTCATGCCTTTAATCCAGGGACTTCTGTAGGTAGAGACCAACAGTTCTCAGTGAGTTTGAGACCAACCTGGATGGACTATATATAGCACATTTCAGGCCAACCAGAGCTACATAGTGAGACCCTGCCTAAATAATTTTTAAAAATTGATTTTCCACATTGTTATTCTGACCCCAAAGAATCATACAATAAACAACTTTAAAACTACCTAAAACAACCAAGACCCATTTAGTTTTGATTTGTATCAAACTATGGACAACAAAGCAGTCTCCACAGTGAAATCCTTAGAAGAAAAGCACCAGCATTAAACAGTAAATAAAAATGAGTTTTAATTAACTGACAGAAATCACACATTTTTAAAAAAGATGATGCAGTGGAAATTCTACCACTTAACATAGAAATGTTCCCTTTGAATAACTTCTTGTGTATGAATTTATGTGCATGTAAGCCAACTACTCCAGATTCCACATTGTATGCAGAAACCTGGAACCAGGGAGATAAAAATGACTCATACAAAATTAAATGACAACCAAGCTGTGGCAAAACCAAAAAGAAAACTACCAGGTTCTTGGCCCTAGTTGTATGCTACTAATGTCTAGGTTTCTTCAAACATATTTAGATGTGTGTGTGTTTATGTGTGTGGAAAAATGTGCATATGACAAGTTCAAACCTAGAACAGACTACCAAAATATTGGTAAAAATTTACATGGGTTACATGTGAAGGATATTACAATAAGGCCTAGAACACCTGGCCTTTGAACACTCTTGTTAGCCAAATGATCATGTATTCTAACATGGTCCTCCCGATAATATTGTATAAAAAAAGTAAGTGAAAGTGTACACAGACAAGAAGATAAAATGTAACACAATGTACTCCAATTTATAGTCATTTTTAAACTCTCGTCAACTTTTGCTATAGTGATCAGCTGAACTGAATTAGCAGACAGGTGGACTACCAGACAGCAAAGCTTTTAATCCAACCTGCTGAGAATGAACTGAGTAACTCTGCATCCGTTTGCACCTCTTTGCTTTCATTCCTCCATTTAGCAAAAAGGAAAATAAATAAATAAACACTTAGAAACACCAGCAAAATACCAAGTAGTGTACACATAAATTTCTAAGAACTAGCCATAAGAAAAGCTGCTGATTTTATGACTGAAGAGACCTTACAGATCACTTAATCCAGTCCACTCATCTTATAGGTAAGGAATCTGAGGCAAAAGGTGGCCTTATCTGCCCTAAATTGCTTAATAATTTAGTGACAGAACTGAAGCAAGAACTCAAATGTCTGAGATCTTTCTCTCTGAATGGGCCTGAAGGCCTGAAGTCAACTGAACTGTCCAAAAGACAACGTATAAACCATGAAAAGATGTTCATGACTTATAAAGCACAGAGCCTATTTGGAAGTATGAAAGCAAAAACATAAATATAATATGCTGATCACTAACAGGGTTAGACGCACATGACTGCAGGACAGCATCTCAACACTGATCCCAGATGCTTCAAATTGGTCATCTTATATTCAGCCGCATTACTTATGTCTTTTATGGTCATGTGGGCTAAGTGATAAACATTCTGCTATTTCGATATTTGAGAAAGCCACAGCTAAACCATGAATCCAGCATGTTTAATGTTGCCACAGCCTTTCCTTAACTGAAAGTCATCATTCAGGTTTAATTTAAAAGATGGTTACTCGGAATGCAGAAAGGGAAAGTTTTTTTAGTGTGTTCATCACTTTAAACCTGCTGAGTGGCAACCGAGTAGCTTCATGATGAAAACCAGAAACAATAGTGCAATCTGAAACAATCTACGCACTCAAGACAAGTGGAGAATAAGGTTCAAGGAAAAGCTGTAGATAAATCTACCGCTACCAAACACTTGAATTGGGGCTGGTGCAAGGGCTAGGGCTGGGTCTCTCTCCCATCTCTCCTCTCCCACTCCCACCTCGATTTTGTTCAGTTTTGTTTTTCATTCATTAGCTCATCTTCTACTAAGCTTTTTCAAATCTTCTCTCAACACTCGCTCCACACAACAGGAAGGAAATGAAATCTCATTCACTTGGTTTTGTGCCTTGTTCATCCTATCTTCCTGAATACTCAGTAGCAAGTGCCTTTAATTAATCACCAAAGAATCACGTCCGGATAGCTCAAGTCTATAAACTTACTGTGGATATCTCAAGAGGTCCAAAGAGCCTACTGAGTCACATAACCAGGCGCTATGTTAGATAAACTTGTCAAAAAGCATTTCCTGCAACAAAAAGGGATGTGGACAGTTGACCTGGGATAGATGGGGACTAAGAATGCATTGGAGTCGAAGGAAATATAAGAAACGACAGCCTCTGAGGCAGACGACTTGTGATCCTTACCGAACACCCGGACCCAGCTCTGCTGCTGGCACACTGACTCCAGAAGGATCCGATCCAGCATGCCACCGGCCACTGCTCCGCTGACTGGGACGACCGCGTCCAGATCCTCCGGGGGCAGCGGCGAGTCAGACTCCAGTCCCGAGAACATCTCCGGCCACGACAGCGCCTCCGCGGCTCCTCCGGACGACGGAGAGAGCTCCATGGTGTCCCAGAGGGAGCAGGCGGCGGCGGCGGCGGCGGCGGCGGGGCGGGCTCCCTGGCTGCGGGAAAGGGACGACGGCGCGGCCACTAGCACCCGAACGGCTGCGGGCGCGGACGCCGCTCACCTCCTTCCCCACCGCCCACCGCCTGAGGGCCGGGCGCCGCAGCCCACCTGCAAGCGGAGGGTGGGACCGGGGCCGGGAGGCGGGTCCAGCGTGGTCCGGAGCGGAGGCGGGTCCCGGCTCAGGTGCGGGTCCTGAGCGGACGCGGAGCACCGAGGAGCGCGGGCTCACCTCCCGCCCCCACGCAGCCCTGCTCAGCCCCCGCGGGCGCGTTCGCGGCCGGCCCGGGCTCAGGCTGAGGATGGAGCGCGGCCGGGCAGGGCTGGGCTCGGGGGCGTCGCCGCCAGGGGCCGCCCCCTCTGACCGGCTCCCGCCGCCGTCGCCTCAGGGGCTCAAAGCGCCGGCTCCCTCAGCCTGAGGGGCGCGCCCGGCTTGGCTTCTGTCCGCCTGGCGTCCGCTTGCTCCTGCTCGACGCGCAGGCCGGCCCGCTAACTCTCAGGCCGCCGCTCCGGCCGCTGCTCGGGCCCCGGCTCGCGCTCCTCTGAGAAACCCACAAGCCCGGCAGCCGCGGCGCTGGCGGCGGCGGCAGGCGGCATCCCAGGGTGATAGGCCGAAGCAATCGAGAGCCGAGCGCACGGCCGCGTGTGCAATCCAGTAACCGAGCGGAGGAGGAACTGCCGCCGAAGACAGCAAAAATCGGGCACCGAAATACTCATCGGGCCAGGCCCGCCTACTTTCCTAAGACTGTCCCGGTCGGACCGCCTCTCGGTGCGGCATCCTTGAGCTGCTGCTGGAAGCTGAGACAGTGTGGGAAGGCGGAGAGAAAAGGGGGTGCGGGAAATTTAAAAAGATGGGAAAGGCGCTTCCCTTTTTTCTTAGTCCCTTTCCTGTTGATTTCTGGACGAATGCTTCTTTCTTGGACGAAGAGCATGAAGACGCTGCTTTATCTAACAGTTACCTTGGAGGAAACGCCGTCGTTCTTCCAGAAGGGAGATCTGGCCCTGGGTCCCGGACTCTAAGATCAGTGCGAGATCCCGGCTTTGCGCCCTGTCCGCCCTGGAGCTGGATTTATCATCAGTTTAGAATAGCATGGCTACGATGTGTGGTGTGGATGGATGGACGAGCCCCGCAAGTACATGAAATGCCCCAAAGCCCCAGCATTAACCAAACAAGCTTCTCTTTTTTGCCTTTGATCTTTGTGCAATCTGTTGGCTTCTTTTTTCTTCTAACAATGTCACTTGTGTTTTATTTTTGGTCTATGTGTAAACTGTCTTCCTCCTTAACGTTGGCTTCATTTTGTGCCCACCCAAAGCGAGATTCACCGATCCAGATTTCAGAGATTGCAGGCAAAATAATAATTTTGGATAGAAATTTATCAATTTAAATTGTATTGACAAATTATAGATTTTTCAACAATTCATGAACATGGCTACTTCAAACCAATCAGGAGTTTTTCATAATTAGATGATGCTAAAAAATCTTTTGGGGGAGGGTTTTTGTTTTGTATCCCAACCCACCCCAGCCCTCATTTCTCTCACTTAGAATTTCTATAAGAGGTCAATCTGATTTTCTAGGTTTGGGGCATTTTCATGTGTTTTTTGTACTTTGTAGGAATTAGAACATGCATTTTATAATTTTCTCCCAAGTTTTACATAGAGTAATAGCATTTTAAAACAAAAAGTGACCTTAAAGATCGGCTTACCCTTCCTCTTGTTTAACAGGTGCAAACAAGACAGTCCAGGTTACCTGACAAAGCAGCCACCAGTGCAACAGGTACATCTTACAAGCTCTCAATGATACTGATTTCTTCAACTTTGATCCTCCAAGAACTCTGTGATTAGATTTGTTAATCTATTGCTTGGCAATGTAGTGGAGTAATCCTTCCTAGTGTATAGAAGTCCACTTGCTAGCTATCTGACTGCATAGTTAACTGTCCAGTTTTAGTAAATGAAAGGTGTTGAAGCTAGAAGTTACAGGACTCAGCCCTAAGCAAATCTAGTGTTTCCTTTCTTCCTCCCTCCCTCCCTCCCTCCCTCCCTCCCTCCCTCCCTCCCTTCCTTCCTTCCTTTGGTTTAGTTTCAAAACAGGGTCCCTCTGTGTACCAGCCCTGGTTATCCTGGAACATGCTTTGTAGACCAGCCTGGCTCCGAGCTCAACGAGATCGTCCTACCTCTGACTCCCAAATGCTGGGATTAAAGGTGTCTGCCACCATACCCAGCTCATCTCCAATTTGTAAAGGTCTTTGAAGGGGCATTGCTCTTTTGCAGTAGAGGAGGGAAGGAGAGAGAGAAAACTCTTAGCATAGTATCTTCATTTGGATTGTATTATTGTTGATGCCTCAAAGAGTAAGTGAATATGGACATCAGTCATACAAATCCAAATTTCTACTCACATATATGGATGTATTTACCCAAGCTATTTTCTCCAAAGCAGCATTAGGAGTGGTATGTAAAATGAAGGGACAAAAGGTTTTCCAAACATTGCTCTCAGTATCATCATATATCTTAAGGGACAAGCTCGTCAGACTCCCTGTAACCCTGCTTCCTTGATAACGTCTGTTTCCATCCAGACCACTAAAACGCTGGTCACTGCTTCACTGTGGCATCCTGAGCTCATACTAGCTACATGCCATCATCCAGTTACCTAAATAACATACGTCTGGAATATATCTAATGTCTCTAGCTTTAAAGGAAAATACTTTCACAACATGGAGAATAAAGAACTCTGTAACAGAAACAGAATTTTAAAACTAGTCTTTAGCCAATGGAAAAATAATGAATCACAAAGTACTATTAAACAGTCTTTCTGAAGATAACATAGTTAAAAACACGCTAGCCTTCTACAGGAAAGGATGGCATCTGCCTATAATCCCTACTGGGAGGTAGAAGCAAGAGGATCAGGAGTCCAGGTCACCCTTAGGTACATAGAGATTTAGAGACCAGCCTGGCTACTTGAGTCTCTGAATAAATACAAACAAGAAACTATTAGTAGCCTAAATGGGGGCAGGGCAAGGTGGGGGTGAAGCAGGGTTTCTCCGTATAGTTTTGGCTGTCCTGGAACTTACTCCATAGACCATACTGGCCTCAGACTCACAGAGATCCACCTACCTCTGCCTCCAGAGTACTAGGATTAATGGCTTATGCCACCACTGCCCAGCTTACTTTATTAATAAATCTGCCTTCTTAAGTATTTTTGGTCTGGGCAGTAGTGGCGCATGCCTTTAATCCTAGCACTTGGGAGGCAGAGGCAGGCATGGTCTACAGACTGAGTTCCAGGACAGCTAGAGCTATACAGAGAAATCTTGTCTAAAAAAAAAAAAAATGGTTTTGCAGCACGTGGAGTTGTTCTAATATTTGTGAGAAAAGAGGTTTTTTTCTGTAATGTTTATCATAAGAAAAATAATATAGTAAAACAAAAACAAAAGGTTATAAACCGGTTTGTGTTGCTCAAGTTTGTTAGTGCCACCTGCATTTCTACCTGTGGTATCTCTGCAGTCTGATCCCAGAGCTTAAAGCAAAAACAGACTTCTGCATGATAAAAATCTTAGTTTGCAGACAGACCTTGATGTGTGAACTATGAAAGAGCTGGAGGTTCATCTCCTTACCTGTGGTCTCCCACCTGTTTTTCCCCTCTGCTCTGGAACTTTAAAGATGTTTAACATGTGCACAGTGGTTGGTCCTCCTGGCCCCCAAAATCAGTCAAACCCAACAACTAGGGAAGTGGGAACTGAAATTAGGAACCTATGGAAAGATGTGAGGGTTGAAGGGAGGAGTAACCTAGTTGATGGTCTAAAAATCAAAATCTAGGAGCAATCTGAGACTTCTAAAAGACAAAGAGGTCACTGCTTGTGAGTCTGCATCACTAATCTTAAATCCAGAGGAAAGTTTGAGCCTTGGCTGTCACAACTTAAAGACCGAGTGTGTGTTTGATTGTCTTCCCCCTTGCCTTTATCAGAAACTGCACACACTTCAGGCCATCCCACCCATTTCTTTATAGCCTATGTAGGTGCCCTCCCCCTTTCTCTCAGCAGATAATCCTATAAACAGGGAGTCAGGAAGTCACCTTGTCAGCTTGTCAGCTGTGCACATCAACACTTCTTTCCTGCACTCCCTTCCTTCTTGTGTATAGGGGCTTAGCACTTTCCTGATTGCGTTGTACAATATGGGTAATACAGGGAAGTTTTCAGCCTTCCTCTAGATCTCCAATCGCACTTCTGTGACTATAGTATCATCTGAATAATGTTTAGTTTAGGATACCTATCTCCAACCCATCTGCAATGCTGAGGTCCAATCAGGAGTTTATAAATGTCGAATACATCCACCAAGATGGCATTTCCTAGACTTCAGACTCAGTGCTTCACAAACCTCTTTGTGTTCCCTGTTTCCCTCACCCAAACAGCTTCCCCATCTCTAATTTATTGTAAAAGAGCTAGTAGATCCTACTTCAGACTCACAGAAATCCAGTCATGTATACCCTCCCATGGCAGACCTGATTTGCTGTCCTCTTTCATCTGAGGACTTTCTGCTTCCAGTTTTATCTTACCTTCCTTATAGGTGATTTATCATAAAGCATAGTTCAGACCAGATCACATCTAAAACTAACTTTTATTATAAAGTCCTTTGGTGCCTACAAAAGAAAAGAAAAATGCTGAGCCATCCCATGTTTAAAAGGACCATTCAAGTATGATCCCAGTCCCCACCCCCAACCCTTACCCATATGCATAGCTCACTCCCAAAACTACCTAGCTGTTTCTTTACTCCTAACTGCAGAGAAGCAACTCCTTCAAATGCCAATGGCCTTAATCAAGCCCTTCCTTATTCTCCAAGCTGTCAGTGACCCCCAGCTTCCCGTATCATTTGTTCCTGCTTCACTTCTGGGATCAACACAATAAATATTGTGGTACAGTCCTTAATGCCCACAATTAGGTTATAAACGTCTCGTGTCATCCTTCCAATGATATCAAAAACCAGGAAGCAAGGAAGTAGATTATGGGAAAATGAAAACCTTGTGTTGTTCTTAGACATGTGGGACTGCAAAAGACATTTAAAGTGAGTTTAATCAGTCCAGTCATTCCTTTCATTCTCTGTCCTGCCCCTCCTCAGTTGAAACTAAGCATCCCTTGCTAAGTATAAGAGTTAATGCCTATAGTCCCAGCTACTGAGGAGTCTAAGACTGGAAAATCACCTAAGTTAGAGACTAACCTGAGAAATATTGAGATCCTATCTTGAAAATGAATTGGAATGAACACACCTAGACCCTGAAGAATGACTTGACTTGCCCAAGCTCATATAACTAGAGACCTAGGAAAAAGTCAAATTTGAATCATCTGAGTCTCAAACTCACCAGTTAAAGACTTGCTTCCTACCTTTTCCTGTCCCTTTCTAAATAGTTACTTTTCTCATTTATAAAAAGGTTTTCTCTATAAAACAATTTTACTCTTTTGCATATTATTTAAGCTTAATGCATTCGTGCCACATTCCTGGCCCCACATATAATTTTAGCAAAATTATACTTTTTTTTTTAACCAAAGGACCAAACAGAGACATCAGAGAAACATCTGGTCTGATTCATCAGGGCAACAGCAACATTTCTATTTATACATGAGCACAGCCCTATCTTTGTAGCTCTCAGCTGTTGCTCGTTGCTCAGTATGTCCCCTTTTCAACCTTGTCTGTCCCTCATCAAGATAGCATCCTGCATCCTGGCTTGTAAGCACAACCTAATGTAATAAAAGAAACATGCATTCCTTGCTTCCTAAAAGGGTTCTGAGTTTTAAAGGAACTGTTATTTCTCTACTTTCTTAATCCCTTTGTTCTAGAGCATGAGACGGCCAGTCTCAAGTGCTTAGGTAGCTGCCTCTCTCTCTTGCATTCTTGGTAGAAGATGTATGAAAACCAAAGCTGAATTATAAGTTGTGTTTGGAAGCAGCTCGAGTAAAGAAAGTAAATGTAAGTAAGGAAGCTGGGGCCTCACAGCAACATTTGATAATGATTAAAACACAGAGACTCCCTGATCTTAGGTAGGAATCAGGACAAAGGGGAAGGAAGGAAGGGAGGGGGTGGAGAAGAGGAAGGAAGGAAGGAAAACCGCCAGAGAACCCTTTTGTCTGAGTGCCCTAAGAGAAAGCCACTGCTTGTAGCAGCCGCTGACACTGTTGTTTAGAAAAGCCATGGAACATGCCAGAGACAAACAGCTCTCCACCAGTGACTTCTTCTTGGCAGAAACGCCTTCAAAATTATGACCTCACCTCAGCATTCAACTTTAGGAATTCAAAAGGAATAAAAACAGAGGGAAGCACAATGGCCTCTGACTTCAGGGTCTAATTAAAATCTCTTAAGATCTTAAGCACTGGAAATAATAAGGTGCCCAACCCCACCCTGTGTAATTTAAAAATAAATGACAAAGTGTCAGAAAAACAACAAAGTTAGGTTTCCCCCTCTGCAGAGATGACAACTACAGAAGCTGCTCCAGAGACAACAAATATAAAACTTAAATTGTTGTGGGTTGGTTTTGTTTTGTTTTTAATGCCCCTACACACATCTGTTGAATGATACAACTCTGTTGGGAATACAGAGTAACAACATCTATTAATTTACACAATGTCATGTCATACCTAGCAAATTAGTGATTCTAGTAACCACAGACACCAAGATACTTCACTCTGGCAAAACAAAATGACTACTTCTTTAGCTTTGTAGTTCTGATGGGTTTTTTTTTTTGGGGGGGGGGGGCTAACGAAAGAAAAATAAAGAAATTTTAAAAAATCTGGGCTGGAGAGATGGCTCAGTGGTTAAGCACACTGACTGTTCTTTGAGAGGTCCTGAGTTCAATTCCCAGCAACCACATGGTGGCTCACAACTGTCTGTAATGGAATCCGATGTCCTCTTCTGGTGTATCTGAAGGGAGCAACTATGTACTGACATACATAAAATAAATAGATAAATCTTTTAAAAAAGAAGAAGATGAAAGAAAAAAGAAATTTAAAAAGTCAGACCCCAGTGACACTGAAGGAGAGATTTTTTTTTTTTTGAAACATGATTCCATTGTCTTTTTGGTACCCTTGAGAACAATATCATAATAACTAGCCAATATATGTAGCTCATAATGACCTATTTTCCCTTTGTCTCTTGTAGAAGGATGTCAATATATCGGTTATAAGTCAGTTATGGCGGTAGTGGTCATTTGGTCTTTTGATCTCAAAAAGACATCCTCTGCAGCACAAGACTGGAGGTTAGAAGCAAGTGGTCAGAAAATGACTTTGGAATTTGACTCTCCTGAGATATTATGGCCAGACAGTGTAGTCTAGAAAGCAACAGATGACTAAAGCAGATTGGAGTAGGTCACGGGGGAAAGGAGATACACAGATAATACAAAGCAAATGTATTGACACCAACTCCAACGATGCTGCTGCTGTAGGTTCAAGCTCAACATCCCACCAGTCCTTTGGTTCTCATTGATATTCACCATCCTGTTTTCCCCAGTGAATATATCTCATGTATGCCTCTGTCTTCTAGACCTACTCAGTTCTCATCTTCAACAAATGTCTCTACCTCTTACTTCTACAATAAAAATTAAGGTCACCAAGCAAGATCTCCTTCAGTCTCCCATACCTCTCCCATCTTTTGTCTCCGTTTTTACCCCTAGAGGTTGATCCTTCCTACTTCTCTCAAGTTTTAAACAAGCATTGTCTCTTCCCTTATGCTTCCAATAATGGTTCCTTCTTTGAATCTGTGTCCATTTCCTCCATCTTACCAAAAAGCTTCATACCAATGCAGTCCACAGATACTCAAAACTGTACTTGGATGGATGGATGGATGGATGGATGGATGGATGGATGGATGGATATGTAATAAACCAAATAAAGCCAAAAGCTATTTAGGGAATGTAGGTGGTAGGTACACGGGTATCCACAGTATAATTCTTTTAACTTTTCTTTCTGTTAAAATTGTCATTATAGCTCTCCAAGATCAGGCCTAGGTCAATCACTGACAGGACTAAAAGCACCAAGAAGGTCTGGATCATTGTGGTGCCTCTCTCCAAAAACTGGTGACAAAAATTGAAATCAACCAGCACACCAGGATCCTCTGTGGCAAGACAGAGATGATGACGTAGGCCACTGTCATCTGGCACTGTGGTTCCTTCACAACAACAATGGCTGGTGGGTCCAGGATTTACAACACCACTTCCACTGTCACAGTCAAATCAGCCATCAGGGACTGAAGGAAATGAAAGACCAGTAGAAGTGCTACCGTGTGAGCAGCCCTGACCTACAATAAACGAGTTCGTTACTATGACAAACTTATAATAAAAAGTGTTGGTTGAGTAACTCTGCTCTCCCAGTGTCTTCCTGAAGCTACCATCAATCCCTCTTTTTTCTTTTTTCCTCTAAACTTCAAAGACCAGATGGTATTTATTGGCTCCATCACCTCCTTTCTTTCTGGTGTCTCTCTTTCTTTAATTTATTTTTATTTATTTATTTTTTTTTACACTCCAAATTTTATTCCCCTCCTGGTCCACTCTCTGACTGTTCCCCATCCCATACCGCCTCCCTACCCACCTTCTTCAAATATTTTAAAAATAAATAAGATGTTAAAGTTGAAATCCCCTTGATACTCCAGCCAACCTCTTTTGCTTCTAGCGACCAAGATGTTGTTGCTGTTCTAATGTTGGTATTCGTTTCTTCCACACATGTATGAAACATATCCTGGTAGTTACCTTTTGTGTGTAGTATTATATTCTCAAGGGTTATGTTATTACTTGTGGGCCCAATCTGATTATTTTAACTGATAAATATATGTAAAATCAGAAGAATTCACCATTCACTTATGCAGTCTACTACTGAGTTTCCACTTTCTATCACAAACAATATCATTAAACCACTTCTCATTATTCATAGATTGACATTACCATATGTCTCAAGTGAGTTGACATATTGTACAGTTTCATATATCAAATGCCACAAAATACTGATGGATTTCTCTCCAGTGTAGCTGTCTCAAGTTACAGGAGCTGAGTTTCTTCTTCACACCATGCCAATATTTAGCAATATCCATTTGTTTTTGTTTTTCAATTTTTTTAGATTCTCAAGAATATATGGGTGGAGACAAGGCTCAGCAGAAAGGGGCACTGTCTGCTCTTCTAGAGGTCCTAAGTTCATTTCTCAATAACCACATGGTAGCTCACAACCATCTGTAATAGGATCCGATGTAATAGACTCATCTGGTGTCCATAAAGACAGAATACTCACACATAAATAAGCCTTAAAAATAATATACATGAAAAGCAATTCAACTTAAAAATTTACATTTTCCTTTTGATGTGCTCTTGTCTATTCAATATTTATTTGTATTTTGAATACCTAGTAGCATTCTTTGCTGATTGTTTTTCAATTGCAATTTTGTCTTTTTCTGTGATTTATTAAAAAAAATCCCCTATATACTGACTATAGCCTAATCTCTTGAGTTTTTTATTATTATTTCCAGATAATGGTACAAAATAATATACTTCATTATATTTTCAGGAATGTATATAAATATTCTTGTCTCCCTCTACTTTTTACTGCTATCCCTTTCTTCTCCCAAATAGTTCCCTTTTGTCTTTCATTCATATATATATAGTATGTATATATATGTCTCCAGCTCTTATCAATTTTCTTTCAAACCAATTTTGTTCTACTTTGGCTAAATATTCTGTGTGTGTGTGTGTGTGTGTGTGTGTGTGTGTGTGTGTAACTGTATGTCTATGTTCAACATTTTTGCTAGATTTGTTTCTGGCAAATTATTGCTTTTGTTATAACTAGATGGTGTTATTATATTTTCAAATTAGTTATTGCAACTGTACTGAAACTAGTGAATTTTGATTATTGATTTTGGGTCTATCAACATTTAAAAACTTGTATAACCATGCAATAGTAAAGGATTGTCTCAAATATACTATATAGAGAAAATTTTATTATCTGCATATAATGTTTATTTTTGTTCCTTAGTTTCAATATCTGTACCTTTTGTTTCTTGTCTTACTGCAATGGTCACAAAGTCCAGAGCCATGTTGAAGAATTATGTCTATATCTTGTTCCTGGCTTTGAGCAGAGAATATTTCTTATTTTGCAGTATCTGCTCTAGCTTTTAAATATATTCAGATGGTCCACTATATTTCTAGATTTCTAAGAAACATTTAAAATAAAAAAAATGAGTGTTAAATATTACTGGGTTCCCCCCCCATATTTGTTGAGATAACCATTTAATTTTCTCCCTCAATTTAATGTCAGTGGGTGACATTAATAGATTTCAAAAATAAATGTCATTCAGTTCTGGAATTTAAACCCTCCTTAATAATATTGTATTTTCAATGAGTACTTTCTTTAGTTTTAATGTCTCTATATTTATATGTGTCAATAATTTCCTCTTCAGGCACTGCCCTTATTTTGTTTGAATATTCTTCCTAGGAGTCAAGGGAGTTGCCTTCAGCTGTCAAAATGATATTTAAGTAGATACATTTTAAGTCTTTCGGCTCTATATTACCACACCCTGCATTACATTTAGCATAATTGATCACCTCCTTAAAATCTATTCTTGAAGCTTGTGCAGGCTGGTCTTATGTCGACTTGGCAAACAAACTAGAGGTATCTGAAAGGAGGGAACCTCTATTGAGAAAATGCCTTCATAAGATCCAGCTGTAAGGCGTTTTCTTAATTAGTGATTGATGGGGAAGGGCTCAGCCTATTGTGGGTGGGGCCATCCTGAGCTAGTGGTCCTGAGTTCGATAAGAAAGCAGGCTGAACAAGTCAGGGGAAGCAAGCTAGTAAGCAGCATCCCTCCATGGCCTCTGCATCAGCTCCTGCCTCCAGGTTCCTGCTCTGAGTTTCTGTCCTGACTTCCTTCAATGATGAACAGGGCTGTGGAAATGTAAGCCAAATAGACCTTTCCTCCCCAGCTTGCTTTTGGTCATAATGTTTCACAACAATAGAAACCTTAACGAAGACAAAGTTAGATATAGTAGTGCTACCTATAGCCAAGGCAGAGAAGGTCGATGCCAGGTTTGCTTGAGGCCAGGAATTTGAGGTAAGCCTGGACAAAAAGAGGAGATATTCTTTCTCTCTCTCTCTCTCTCTCTCTCTCTCTCTCTCTCTCTCTCTCTCTCTCCCTCTCTCTCTCTCTGTGTGTGTGTGTGTGTGTATTTTCTCTCTCACTCTCAGTATTCTGACATCATACTCTCATATATCTCTAAGTTCTTTATGTTCTTACCTTCACCCTGGAATTCTCCTTGACTACTCTTCTCACCTCACGGATGTTCCCCACATGATCTGAGGTGCCCTTGGTATTTCAGTATTACTTGTATGAAGATGAATTCCAGTGCTATGCCTTTAGTCTGCATCTCTCCTCTCTATTCTAGATTTTTCAGTCTTGTTCTGGCTCATCTAAATGTGATTTGGAACTTAACAATGTAGGATGGAGATCATTTCCTCCACTGAACACACACCTTCCTCACGTTAACATGATCTTAACCTGTAATCCCATTACCCATTCTTGTTATCCGGGAAGGACCCCTTTGATAGTCTCCTCCATCTCATCCTGTTGCCAGTGACAAAGCTGTCCCTGTCTCTGTTCTTCACTATCCATGCCTCAGTTAAGGCTTCCTTCAGCTTTCACCTGAACTAGAACAATGAGCTGACAAAGATGCTCTGGTTTTCTTCATGCAATATGGATGCAACTATAACCTGCTAGTAACTATTCTTTAGACAACGAAGTAACTAATTTAAACCTCTGATCTTGTCATGCTCCTTTTTGACCTAAACCCCTTTCCCAGCTGCGTGTGGCAGACAAGATGGTGGATGCCTTTAATATTAGATTGAGTGTGCCATCATCTAACCTAGACATCTTCTCTGCTCTTACAGCTTAACCTTGTCTCTAACAACTCAAGCCTGCTGCTGTCCCCTAGATAGTCTGGTTTTTCTTTCCACTCATTTGCATAGAAATCTGTCCTTTCTAGGTATGTCTCCCCTTTTGTCTCCTCCTCCTGCCTCCAGCCCCATTCTAGCTTGCCTCCCTCTCTCTGCTTAACTCTTCACGTCCTTTAAGATCTGACTCACCTGTCAGTTTATTAAAAAACTGACCCGCTTCTGAGAACTTCGCTAAGTGCTTCTCTTTAATGATCTCATAAAAGCCATTATTATTTTTATAGTTTGCACTTACTGTATTCCGCTGCAATTGTCTGTTTGTATGTCCCCACTGAACTGTAATTCAGCAAAAGGAGAAATTGAGTTTATTCATGCTTAAATTTCTAGAACCTCGGTCTTGAAGAGATGATTCAGTGGGTAAAGGAGCTTGCTGCTAAGTCTTAATGATCTGAGTTCCATTCCTGGGGACCCACCTGGTGGAGGAGACTCCTGCATGATGTCCTTTGACCACCACACACATGCTATGGTATGCACATATACCTACACACAAAAACACAAAATAAAGTGTAATTTTTAAGATGCCAAACAGTGACCTATTAATATGAGTTGTATATTATTAACTTTGTATGTCCAAGAAAACATATAGAAGGAGAGGTTTATTTGGCTTATGGTTCCAGGATGATAAGAGACCATGAAAAGAAAATGATGGTAGCAAGTAGCAGGTATGGTAGCTGGAGCAAAAAAAGCAGAGAGGACCACATCTTTAACCTCAAGCATGTAGCAGAGAGAAAGAACTGGGAATAGCATGTGGCTATGAAAACTCAAAGCCCCACCCCCAGGAACATCTTCCTCCAGCAAGGCCATACTTCTAAGCCTACCCAAACAGTGCCACTAACTGGGATCAAATATTCAAACATCTGAGCTTATGGAGACCATGAATATTCAAACCATCATAGGTAGCAAAGTCTAGGGCTAGACTACAGAATCATATTGGAAAATGGAAAGCAAGGTACAGTGTGGATAGGAGAAAGTCAATTCATGTTGTTAGACCAAAGTACTATTGACTAGATAACTTATATATAATGGAAATTGGGTTTTCACAAGTCTGGAGGCACTAAGTCCTGAAGGAGGGTGTCAGCCTGTTTCAGTTCTGGTCAAGCTAGGACTCCGTTTCTGGTTACAGATGAATCTGTGGTACTGTATCTGCACATGGCAGGAGGATTTCTTAAGTCCTTTTTACAGGGGCACTAATGCCATTTATGAGGGCTTCTCTGTCATGACCGATTACCTCCCCCAAACGAGTTCCTTATACACAGGGGATTCAATTTCAATGTCTAGATAATAATGTAGTCTATAGCACGTGCCACCCTCATGCAGTTTTCATTACTGCCCTGTTACAGAGTGATTGAGAGCACCAGCAGACTCACACT